AACAGAAGGGCTGCCATCAGGGCCCAGGTGAGCACAAGCTGTGTTACATGTACAGTCAGACACTAGATAGGTCTCACGGCTTTCAAAATAAATTGGTAAGAGCAGTTAAATTTCAGAGAATCTGCACTGATGTGTATAAGGCCAAGAAACAAATGATTCTGTTCTCTTAAAATCAGGAGCTTCCCTATGTAGGGCTTTAGGCTGTAGGATCTGTCTTTGGAAGCTATCAGATTCATGTATCCACACCAAACTGTGTGGTTTGGTTTTGGAGGAAAGAATGGCATTTGATGTTTGTCCTCTGAACAGGCATGGCGATTTGTTGTTCCTGTTTCCCTCGAGCCTTGCTGGACCTTCAACTGAAATGGAGACATCGACCTCAGTAGGGTTAAAGACCTTTGGTGCTCCTAATGTGGTTGAAGATGAGATCGATCAATATCTCAGCAAACAGGACGGGAAGATTTATAGGAGCCGGGACCCACAGCTGTAAGTGCTCCGTAAGGCTCCTGCCTGTGGTGGGCGCCTAATGGATCATTAGAGGAAATATTTCAGAGCTTTTGTAATCTTAGCCCTTGGGGGCAGGCTAGCTCACAAGACCCAGTCATAACAAGTTCCATGTTAGTAAGTATCTGGTAAGGTGAAAGATCTGAGTTTGGCCGTCTGTTTTCACATTATTTTACTGCATGTTACCTTGGCAACTTTGAAACAGATTCCACACAGAGTGATTAGTAGGAGTATAAGCCTGGGGGAGTGGCGCACACCTTAGCCAGCATTTAGTCAGAGACAGGCAGATCTCTGAGTCTGAGTGAGTTCCAGGACAGCCAGGAAGTGGCGCACACCTTAGCCAGCATTTAGTCAGAGACAGGCAGATCTCTGAGTCTGAGTGAGTTCCAGGACAGCCAGGAAGGTTACACAGAGAAATCTGCCCCCCCCCCAAAAAAAACCAGACAAACAAAAAATATTAGGAATATGTGAACACTAAGAGTGAGAGGTGTCTAGGCACAGCTAGGGTCTATTTTGGGGTCCCTTTAGATACATGGCCCCTCCCACACAGAGGTAGCAGAAGGGACGGATGGTTCAGTAAGGGCTAAGTCTCTGACTTCTCAGGAGCAGGAGCATGGCCATCGGTAGGACAGCCTGGGCACTAGGTGCCAGTGTGTGCCTTCCAGTTATGTGGAATGTAGTGCGTTGTACATTCCTTCATTTTAGACTTTCCCTAATTCTTTTTACAAAAACCTGTTAGGGACTGGAGAGATGGCTCAGCAGTTGAGACAGGACCCAGTTTGATTCTCAGCATCTACATGGCAGCTTACAGCTGTCTGGGCTCTGAGAGCACCGGGCGTGCTGCACATGCACACACAGTAAATAAAACAGGGACACCAGCCGGAAACACGTGGATCGACTCCCAGCCATGTGAACGTACGGGAGTGGAGCTGTGGGTCTTTATAAGGGTGCCACTCTGAAATGCCCGGGAAATCCAAGTGCTACACCAGCAACTTGTGTGTAAGGTGTACTAGGCACAGATGCTGCCTTTCCTTTGTGTTTCTCCCCAGGAACTCACCATGGTCTGGGCTTTCATGTCTCCAATAGCTATTTTTAGAACACCTGCTCCCATGTGTTAATTTTGCCCTTCAGAAATGAGCTGGCCTAGCTGGGCGGTGGTGGAGCACGCCTTTAATCCCAGCACTCGGGGGCAGAGGCAGGCGGATCTCTGTGAGTTCAAGACCAGCCTGGTCTACAAGAGCTAGTTCCGGGACAGGCACCAAAGCTACAAAGAAACCCTGTCTCGAAAAAACAAAAAAAAAAAAGGAAGGAAGAAAGAAATGAGCCGGCCTCTTACTATAGAGGAGCACAGCGTCCACCTCTTTTCTTTTCCCTTTCTTTTTTTCCCCCATGATGGGTTTCTTTGTGAACCCTGGCTGTCTTAGAACTTGCTGTGTAGACCAGGCTGGCCTCGAGCTCCCAGGATCTACCCGCCCGAGTGTTGGGATTAAAGATGTGCCACATCACGCCAGGGTTAGGCAAGACACTCACCGCTCCATTAAGCCTCTCTTGGTTGTGCCACCAATGCCTAGCTAGTCTAGCTCTTTGTTCCTTAGGACTACAGTTTGACGTTCCTCTCCATCCCACGGCTGCCCTCATAACTGAGCATCTCGCTTCCCAGGGGCCTGGGATGTCCCACACCCCAGATCCTTGGCGTCCTTGTGTTTCCTGGGTGTGCATGATGTGCACATTTCAGACCTAGGGCTGTTGTGCAGCACTATCAGGGCTTCTACCCTTTTCATTCAGTATTGGCTTTTTTTTTGTGTATCCCTGGCTGTCCTGTAACTGACTCTGTAGATCAGGCTGGCCTGAATTTAGAGATCCACCTACCCCTACTTCTCAAGTGCTGGGATTAAAGGTATGCACCACCACTGCCCAGCTTTTCCTTAACATTTTTTTTGTTTGTTTTTTTTTTTTTTTTTTTTTTTCCCGAGACAGGGTTTCTCTGTGGTTTTGGAGCCTGTCCTGGAACTAGCTCTTGTAGACCAGGCTGGTCTTGAACTCACAGAGATCCGCCTGCCTCTGCCTCCCGAGTGCTGGGATTAAAGGCGTGCACCACCACCGCCTGGCTCCTTAACATTTTTATTTAATGTGACTTAAGACATTTTATTTTCCGTGTTGGAGATGGAATATCACCTTATTTGTTTGGGAAGCACTCTATTTTTAGTTAGTGTCATGTTAAGCAGCAGTGGTTATGGTCAGGTTTCTCACTTTCCTTTTCCTTCATTTCCCTTCCCCTTTCCATTTCTTCTCCTCCCCACACCATTCTTCTTTTCTTCTCTACCCTTTTCCCATCCTCTTTTGAGACAGGTCCTCTCTGTGTAGCTCTGTCAGCCAGACTGGCCTTGAACTTGCTTTGAGTCTTCTTGATGCCTCCTGTAGTTTTCTTCTGATACATATCAGAATAAATAATAGATATTGCAATGGAAACATCTGTATTTGTAGGGAAGCACTAACCAAAGTGTGATATAAGTTTTAAATATCAAAAATATTGGGAAGTAGCAACAGAAAATAACCTTTGTGTCCCTGTGCTTTTTTTACCCTGTGCACTCTGCAGATGTCGCCATGGCCCCTTGGGGAAGTGTGTGCATTGTGTCCCACTGGAGGTAAGTCAGTGTGGTTGGCTGCTGAAAGAGCTGGCTCAGCACTTTCTAGTTCCTAAACTTGGGTGTCGTGGCTCTTAAAAGAATTTTTCTATTTATCGTCTTTAGGCCTTGTATTCCCAGCAATACAGTGGCACAGAGAATCTGAGACTTATTTATGGGAGTGACCTTCTAGGGGATTGAGTGGCCGAGGCGTTGTGTGCTGATGAAGAGCGTGTGCGGTTGTCCTGGACAATTAATCTCTGACACATGGCTGGGCTCTCGCTTCCTGCTTGTTATGGCTCTGATTGACTGTCTGAGTCCTCCCCCCCCCCCCCTCTCTGTGTGAGGATTGACTCAGTGCTGTGCTACTAAGTTGTATCCTCAGGCCTTTTGTGACTTACAAAATTTTCTTAGAGCTGTAGTTTTTAATAGGAGTGCATTTTATCTTGAAAATGTAAATAACTCGTACAGAGAAGAGCTTGATTCTGACCATGAACCAGTGAATACCCAGCTTTGCCTCCCTCTCTGTCTGATCCCCTGCACAGTAAGATTGAAGTCTCATGTACCTTGGCAGACCCATGACCACTCATTTCCTGTATATTGTTGATAGCCATTTGATGAGGACTATCTGAACCACTTGGAGCCTCCTGTGAAGCACATGTCCTTCCATGCCTACATCCGGAAGCTGACTGGAGGGGCTGACAAGTAAGTACTCTATCCTGGCCCTGGCATCCAGACTCTCATGCATGTCTGATGGTTCTGTGTATAGTCTCTGGGAGTGGGGATGCAGAAGAGAAGGAAGGCAGTGCACAGAGCAGTTATCTTGATTATTGTCTGTCCACAATGTGCAGGAAAGCAGACAGACTCACAGCTGATGGTAGGTGTGGAGTTGCCTGGTGAACCTCCCTGTCTCACCACCTCTGTGCCACCCCGTGAGGATCTCAGTTCACCAACCTTAGCCCTGCCTGCTCTTTCCCCAGGGCTCTCCTGTTAGTTAAGTTCACTTTTACAGCTGGGATGGGCTGAAGCCACAACTCTATACGGGTTGCATTCTGGTACCACAGGGCTCCAGTTAGCATACTTGGTCCAGTGGGTGGTGTAAGCAGCCTCCTCTTTGCCCAAATTCTGGTGGCCAGAAAGGTGAACTAAGACTGGTGTTTGTTTGATTTTCTTTAGGCTTTGCTATGAGTCTTAAACTTGAGATCCCCTTGCCTCGGCCTCCTGAGTGCTGGGATTGCAGATGTATACTGTCTCTCCAGGCCGCATTTGGTTTCTTTTTAACCTGTGTGGAATATTTGTCTGTGTAGCTCCTTTTGTGTGCACCTGACCAGAGAGTAACAGACCTGCTGGTAGCTTTGTATTTCCTGTCACTGATAAGAAGAGATGGCACTGGGTCCAAGTCAAGGTGCTGACATCCAAAATTACTTTTTAATTTTATTTATTTTTGTTTTTTTGAGCTAGAGTTTCTCTGTAGCCCTGGCTGTCTTAGAACTTAACTCTGTAGACCTGGATGTCTCCAAACTCAGAAATCCTCCTGCCTCTTGAGTGCTGGGATGACTGTTTAAAATGTTAAACTGGGAATGGAGTGGAGCTGGAGAGATGGCTCAGCAGTTAGAGCACTGGCTGCTCTTCCAGGGGACCTGGGTTCAATTTCCAGCTCCCACAGGGCAGCTCACAGCTCTCTGAAACTCTAGTTCCAGGGGACCCAACACCAATGGACATAAAATAAAAATAAATAAATTAAAAAACAAAGCAAAAAACCCAACCTTCAAAAAACAAAAAAGGTTAGACTAGGAGCAAATCATCACCAAAGATGCACGCTTGACTGTCAGTGTGGAGCTGTGGGTTCTCTTGGGTCTTTGCACGCTTGACTATCAGTGTGGAGCTGTGGGTTCTCTGGTCTTTGCACACTTGACTGTCAGTGTGGAGCTGTGGGTTCTCTGGTCTTTGCACACT